ATATTTATCCTTCATAGCTTTACCCACTCGTAGTTTCATTTAATATATATATATAGCATAATTTATTTCAAATTTAATTTTATGTGTAGAAAATTATGCAAAGATTTAAGGGGTTAATCCTGGCCTTCATCTTAGAGACAAAGTTAGTCTGGATAAGTTAATGGAATTCGGTAGCCCCTGTAAAGTTACAGCTACATTATAGCCTCATTTACATTCAGCCCCTGCCACCGCTCCTCGCGCTGCCGGCAATACTTCGCTAAATACTGCCGTAGCAGGATCGCGGGAAGTGTGTATTCACACTCTGCCCTACCACTCACATCGCTTTCGGCTTTCGACTATGGCAGACGTCGAAATCGAAATAATTACAGCGTCCGCGCTGTGTCTTCTTGCAATACAAAATTATGTTAATAATTTAAAAAGATATCAAGTTCAAAAGAAGATAGATAGATTTTATTTGATAGATAGAATTTATTTGCTTAAAAACATGGTACATAAGATCATCAATGACGTGGAACTGACATGTTTTGCCATAATTAGCATGCAAAAATGATATGAAATACAGCTAATTACACAAACCCAATGTTACATTTTAAAATTATTGCATTGCTTAAAGGTTAGTTACAAACATTCTTTTTGAATTCAAATATTATGTAAAATTAAATACATATACAGATCCACTCTATTTGAATTCATATACAGTAAATTGTTCATAAATTATTAATTGAATTATTACATTATTGTTACATAAATAATATTAAATATTATATGAGATTAGTTAAGCTATTATTATTTTAATAATTACACTACAGTATAAATTAATTCATAATTTTAATTACAATAAAATTATAATTTAAAAATCTTAGGCTATTATGCAAATATTACCATTTAACTTATTTTACATTTTAATAAATAAATAATCAATATGAGTTACTAATCGTTTTTAGAAATAAAATGTCAATGTTCATTAATTCCTTAAACTTAACTAAATTTTATATTAAAATAATAAATTTGACGAATTTATAATTAATTATGTACATAGGTACTATGTTATCTCAAAAAAGAAAATTCGTATTCGTAGAAGATGATGAATTGTGATTTTTTATCGTTGAAATTCCATAGTTTTTTCTGATTCCAGCGGTTCTAAAAACTTTATTGTATTTTCATTGTTCCACTCGAAAGGACCATTTTGGTAGATCGTACTTTATTTAGTAACAAGACGGCACGAACGTCCGTTCATCCAGGCGCTTAGCGCGAAGTGAGCGATGGAGTGGACTGAATGTGAACACTCACTGCCGCTCGCGCTGCCCGTCCTTTGACTTCCGCGCGAAAAACCGACATTTGAGCGATCGTCGGGCAGCGGCAGTGGCAGCGGCAGTGTCAGCGCGAGTAGCCTGTTTACATACTGCCCTGCTCACTGCCCTGCTCACTTCCCTGCCCAACAGGGCTGAATGTAAATGGGGCATTAGAAATGATTTTTTTATTTTATTTAATTTGCTAATGTTCTAAACAGTGGAAATATTATATTATATCGTATAAGCAACGATTTATTAATTTTAACTGTCAATTATAAAAAGTGCAAGGATTAACACATTATTTAAAAATGGTAGAGCGACGTTGCAGCTACGGTTATGGTTGTAGAATGAATGGGTTGGCTCAATAAATTTGTTTTTCAGAAAGGTAAAACGTCAACGTCAAATCAATGGCTATTTTTAAACTATTTAGGAGTATTTGGAAAGATATGAACTTGTATAAACAATGCGTAGCTTTATTCCTCGATATTTTTAAAGCTTTCGATTGTGTAAAATATAACGTTCTTTATAAGTAGCTAAAATATTGGAACTAGAGGAAAATTAAATAGAATCTTAAGCAGCAGAATACAAGCAACTGTTATTGCAGTATACATAAAGCTACGAAAAAATTAGATGTCGTCCAGTCATCCTTTGAAAATTTTCAATTAGGTGTGCCACAAGGGAGCATATAAGGGTCCTTACTGTTTTTAACCTACATCAACGAACCCCCAATATAATTAAGCATCAATTCATGCTGTATTCTGGCAATGCAACAATTTTCATTTCTAGTAACAGTCTTAATGAGAATGATTTTAATAAAGAGATTACCACCTCATTAAGTCCTGCCACATGTTGGCTGAAAGGAATAATTCTGAAAGAAAATCTAGAAAAGACAAAACTCATGCAATTTAGAAACTTTAACCGGAAACCTCTTGCACTGAATACAATCGGCGGTAATAAAAAAATCGAAAGTATAAACCATAAAAACTTATTGAATAAAACTATTATTTACGGATTTTATCGCGTTTAATTACTACTTAACTTTTGTTACTATCTCGACGTTTCGGGTGCTTAACAGCACCCATGGTCACAGGGGGGACTGAGATGTTTGACGTTCCAATGTCATAGTTCGTACTGTGCGCCGCGGTGGACGACCACGATCGATTGATACAGGCTGAAATTGCCCGTAATTTCGCAACCGCTGTGTAGCGCCTAGCATCGTAGCGTAGCACGGTGCACGTGAGTTGGGAAATCGCCTTGAATATTCACGGCAGGCTTCACTAACGTTATTATTGCAAATTGCTAAAATTCGCACCATTTCGGTATAGTCAACATTTGAGTATCGGTACGCCATCGTAACAAGGTAACGTTCACAATGATCTCACAACGAAAAGACAAGCGTCGCGGGCGCATCAAAGGCGACTGACGACACATGTTCAGTGTTGCCAACAGCGCTGGCCCTAATGTCGCCGATTCTCATGCATGAAGTAGCCTAATATCGCCGAATTTCAACTGTAGTAGCCTAAAGTAGCCCAAACACCAAAATATCAATATGAATAAAATAAAATATGGTTTTTATCAATTTATTTACCATATGTTCATAACACACTGATAAATAGACATAAGACATCTTTAGAACACGTTAATGAAATTAAAGTTAACATTTTAAAAACTACATAAACAAATAAACAAAAATGAGGATTATTCTGATTCGTCCTCTGCTAGCAATAATAAGGCATCACCAAGACTTTCGCCGTCTTCAGTAGTAATTGATGTACTAGCGCAAGATCCACCGGAGACATACATTTTTCTGCCAGCGTGCAAACTCACCAAGTGATTGTTTGGTTGAAAGTTGTTACAACACAAACCTCTTACATTCATATGGGTACGAATCCTATGAATTGCGATCAGCATGGGTAGTTGCATGCGATTCCTTAATTTTGTTTTGATTGTCCCCATTACGCTGAAAATTCTTTCAACGACGGCATTACTCAAAGGTAATGAAAGACATCGTATCGAAAACACTGCTAGTTCTTTAAACATCAGGCTTCCACCAGCATTTTTTATTTTTAGCACTTGTATCCAAAAATTTACAATGTCCTTAGGAGAAGCAGCTGTTCCGATTATCTCATCAATGCGCATAGTGCTTAATACGCGCCATTGGTTCATAACAGCTTCTCGGTCAATATTGAGATCACCTAACTGCCAGGGAAAATCTTTAATGTTTTGTTTGCCGGTTGAGAGGCATACGCGGTTTGGTGCAAAAAGTTCAATTTTTTCCACCACCGACACATTAAGCGGTAACCTGTCAACTAATTCTCTTACTAAGCGTACAAGAAAAGCAGAACATCTTTGCTTCACTTCTTTGGCTTTATCGGCAGAAACAGTCTTTTTTTGCAAGTAAATTGAACTTTTCTTCAAAGTCAATTGAGTCCAGTGGAAGCAGTGAATTTTCAAATGGAGCTCCGGCTTTTTCTAAAGCTCGCCTAACAGCTGCAATATCTGCTTCATGGAGCATTGATACAGAGGCATTGTCAGACAGACTTTGACTTCTCAGAAATATTGGTTTGAAAACACGTCTTGCAATGGAAAGTAAAAGAATCCGAAGATCGCTATATATTTTTGTGATATTTGCATCATTTGCTTGAAATATAATATTCACATTTGTTACTTCTTTTAATATCGGAGACAAAAACAACAAATATAATAAATTTGTATCATCATTATACATGGCAGCAAGCTCCCTTGCTGTATAACATCTTTCTGATGATTTCACCACATTAAAATGAGAAATTGTACAACCAGTGCGTGTTGCCAGTGATGACTTACGGATCTGAGACGTGGTCCTTCACTGCTGGCCGTATGAGGACGCTCAAGGTCGCTCAGCGAGCTATGGAGAGGGCTATGCTCGGAGTTTCTCTGCGTGATAGACTCAGAAATGAGGATATCCGCAGTAAAACCAGAGTGACCGACATAGCCCAACGGATTAGTAAGCTGAAGTGGTAATGGGCCGGCCATATAGCTCGAAGAACCGATAACCGATGGGGAAGAAAGGTTCTCGAGTGGCAGCCTCGTACCGGTAGGCGTAGTGTAGGGCGACCCCCCACTAGATGGAGTGACGACCTGGTAAGATATGCAGGAAGTCGATGGATGCAGGTGGCTCAGGACCGTGCTTTGTGGCATTACTTGGGGGAGGCCTATGTTCAGCAGTGGACTTGTGAAGGGCTGTAATGATGATAATGATGATGATGATGAAAGTGAGTTTTTAGCTCAAGCCACTGATTAATGTTTGTTTTAACAGCTGAATGAAACGCCAGCCAGTTGCGGATAGCTGAGTTAGTTTCAAGGGTTTTTTACGATCATTAATGGTTTCAAATAAGGTCTGATATATTTTCATTCGCAGTGGACTGTGGGCAAACCAATTTCTGGTTTCCCCTAAGTAAATATTCCAGACAAGACGGTAATTCCGTGCACGCTTTGGAGGCACATAAACTAAGGGAGTGACACACACATTTCAATAGCTGTAAATGGGGTATATCTGCTTGTAAGAGAGTGAAAAGGGAGTTATTTTTGCCACAAAGGTTACTTGCTCCATCAGTTCCTATTGCAATTAGATTTTGAAGATTGAAACCCATTTTAGACATAAAACTCTTAAATGATGTATATAGGCCGCTAGCTGTTGCTTCAAATACTTCTTGAAAGCCTAAAAAATCAACAACTATTTTTTTCTAGTTTTGAATTATAGAATCGGATGCAATATGCCATGTACTTTTCTGTTGTTACGTCAGTGGATTCATCCAGTATAATAGAGTAGCTCTGGTTACCAACTTCTTCTAAAAGTTCCTTGAGCATGGCCGGTTCTAGAGCATTTTTTATAATGGCCGAACACTTTGATCTATGTAATTGTATGTTTTCAAGAGGACTCCCTGTCCCACAGGTTTTTAACACATTTGTCTGATGATCAATGCTGCGTATGGAGCTGTGAGCAGCGACATAGGCAGATATTTGTATGTCTATTATTTTTTCTTTTGATGAACTGTTACTAATTGAGGAGTAGCCAAACGATGCAAGCTTGGGTTGCTTTTTAGAAAAACTTAATTCTTTGTCTTTATGTGTTTTAGTTTTCATGTGCTTTTCTAAATCCGTTTTGTGCGCACGGAGTGGTGTGATACATAATTTACAAAATGCCTTACCTTTACCACTATCCGTCAGTACAACAGGTGCTCGACTAAGCCAATCTGTAAAAGAAATTGAACTCAATAATACACTAGGCAGTAGGTATGCATATATTGTATGTACCAGATAGGTATGGCACTAGTGGTTGATAATCAGAGAATATTTCTTGCTATTTGTGCAGTTTCAGTCTACCTAATACATCTTAAATAGTCTGGGTAAATATTAAAAAAATGATTGTGAAACTAAAAACCACGACTCCTAATTTAGTCTGGAACACAGGTCTGGAAGAAGTAAGACCATGTAACAGATAATACATCTACCTACATCACACAAAACATTAATATAAAACGGTACTTTAGTTTTTACTTACTTTTAAATGCTGGCAGTTTATCCCATTCATCACGATAATGCTTGATATATTTACCATGTTTACCCATTTTACAAAACAAGCGCAGGAGAAGTTTTACAAAGCCAAAGTGACCAAGGAATAACCGGAATTTATTTGAACTATTTAGTCAGTACAACACAGATAATTGCGGTAGTCATTATTTGTAATAGAATGCATGTAAACCTATTGCATTCTAAATTTGGTTACATAATAGCTAAGACAAATTCAGGGTATTCCCCAAAAATAACCAATCACAAACAAATAGGGTGACCATCTTAATATCAAATTGTACCAACATTACACACACGCACAGCCGTATGCCTGTTTACATACCAGGTAGTATAAAAAAAACTTGTCCCTAGAGTAGCCTAATTGGCGACCAGTCGCCTTTTAGATTTTTTCGTCGCCGATTCTCGTTCTGAGTAGCCTAAATGGCGAAAAATCGCCTACGTTGGCAACACTGCACATGTTACTAATTAGGTCAATTTTATGAGTATCGTCGCCTCCTACACCCCTCCACCCCTCCCTCGCCACGCGCTTTTTATTGTTAACTGCCTAACTAGGACTATTACCGTTTAGAAGCTCCAATTAAAATATTTTTATTTTTGTATGAAAATAAAAATTGAAGAAATATATTTTTTTTCTTACAGATATTGTTGTTATGGTGTAAATAATATATTCCCCAAAGGTCTTCAGTAACTACTGCTCCGTGACGTGTCATGACGTGACTCCGTGAATAGACGTGAGAACTAAGTCCATCTGTGGACTTTTATGTGTTGGTGATAAAAAAGAATTTTTTTCTTTGTTCGAAAGAAAAATAACATAATTCAGAGCTTATTTTTTTAAAAGTTACTTAATTAAATGCTTCATTTCCAAAGTATTTTATTTTATTTGTCTTTTCTCAACTGAGTCTAGCGTACTCGTTTTAGTGCATAAGGCAAACTTAAGAGTTTCGAATGCTAATTATTTCAAATAACTCGCGGATCTGCTTTATGAAAATATTTTTTATAAAGCAATGCTACTAATCCCGCTCCCTTTTCAAAGACGTGAAGTAATGAAGTGTAAATTTCTCTTACATACCTGCTTAATTTGAACTTACATCTTACTTAATTGAAGTATTAAAACATTTTAAGTCAAATATATCTAAGAATAATGTGGTGAGCAGCTGCGTTCCCATAGTAAAAACTAAAATTCAACCTTCTGTCCTAACTACTTACATATGTTAAAAAAATAACAGCTATTATCTAGTGATAATTCTAGTGAATTAGAATTAAAAAATCATTGACTTTTATTTCATTGTTTAAAGTTCTGTCTTAATTATAGTCGCTTACATATATTTAAGCACGCGCTCCACAATTTCGCGTCAAAACCAGATGTACTGAATGTAGATTTGTGGCGTTGAAAGTAGGGCTTGCAACATGAAATGAGTTACATATATTTCGTTTGAATTAAATTTTATGTATTATATACACACTATACACACAGATGAATTAGTGTGCTATATACTTAGTCATTTTACTATTTTAAATGTTCAAAATTTTTTAATTATGATGTCAAGATTCTAAACAATAAAGGATAGAATGTACTTAAATTTTAACTGAAGAACCAAACCGAAACCATGCTCAACTTATTGTAAGAACACGCACACACGCACACTTATAAAATAATGACCAACAACATGGTTTTAGGGGATGCACATGTTGCATGATACACTGGACGTACAGTATCAGTTATATACGAGCTGATAAAGGGGGAAAATAATTGTGTGCGTGAGTGAGTGTCAAAAAGTTGAGCATAATTTATCCATCTTTTGAAATGATCTAAGTCTTTAAAATATGTAGAAACCAAACATTTTCTGGCTCTTTATGGATTGATATTTTTTCAAATAAAAAAAAATTAGTTTAGTTAAAAAAGAAGGGATTTTCAATTCGGCTGTATATTAATTTTTTGTTTAGTAAACATCCTTCGAATTAATCAGTAACTTTTATAATGAGTGTACTCTTAGTTTTAATTTACTCGTACCTTAGTACAGACAGTACTTAGTACAGCCTTGATATGACAAAAAGCACACCTTTGCCTTGTAATATTATCTCCCTCGATTAAACATGTCAACATCAAGATTTAACGTACATAGAGAGATTCAATATAATTAGGCTTTCCATTTTAGTCTTCGAGGCGACACGGCATCTGCAGCACTTCTTGTTTAAAGTTGACTGCAGGACAGTTCCATGGACTGCAGTTGCCACTATCAGGAGAACTGCGGGTTGTTTTGTAAAAAGTTTTATAAACATTATAAAAACGTGGATTAGTTAGTTAGCTTGGCTACAGTCGGCGCTGACGATAAGCTCCCTCTCTCAGAGGGCTTCTGAAGCTGATAAGTGTCTGCTGCGCTGGTCTAATGCACACTGTCGGTTTTAAAATTTCCTCAAAATGATTTCGCTTCATTTTATTTACTTGCCAGCATGTAGAAAACTAGCACGACAAATTGTAATAAATAAGTTTGAATTGCGCTCAAGTTGCGTGTGTTCTAATTAAAATCTCTCTAATAAAGTAATTTTAATAAAAAGCTAAAAATTTGAATTATTAGAAAATTTTGAATTTCATAAAAGTGTAATTAACAATCGTGAAGGTACTGAGTCTGCGTTATGAAGATTTTAGAGCAATCTTTAATGCCAACACTTTTATTCCAGCTTTCTTAATATCTGAAGTTTAATATTCATAGAACTTTGCATTAATGGCGTTTTCAGCTACGTACCTCATGACTGTGAATGAAGTAATAAAGTGAAGTTGTGGAAATATAAACTAAAAAAATTGTTATATTTTTCGTCTTTTATTCCAATATTTATAAAAAATTTCATATAACAGATAAAATATAATAAAATACAATAGTCATTATCATTCTTTTTATATCTCAGAAATAGATCCTAAGAGATAGATCATAAGAGATTTTTATTATTTACTTCCTCCTTCTTTTCTTAATAACATTTCATTTAATTTTAAATTTATAAAACACAAAATAGCTACAAATGAACGTTGTAACATATTTATTTTATTAGTTTTTACTGTAGTTATGTGTAAAGGGATGTCATGGTAAAAATATTACTTTTTTACAGTAAGCTAAATTTCATTAAAACATCAATTGAATAAATTACATTATGGTTTTTTTACTTTTATTTTTATTTGCATTTAATAACATCCTTTTTAAAATTACGATAAGATGAAAATACATGTAAAACTTATATTTTAATATATTATAAAAGTAATGTAGATATTATACTTTTAAACGCTGAAATAAAGGAGTGTTATATTTTTAATAATAATCATCATTTATTTCGGACCATGATCCGTATGTATTAGTAAGTAATTTATAAACTAAAATATGTTAGTAAAAAAATTACCAATTATAACTAAATTATTTCATATAATTCATATTCGTGTCTAGTGCTGCAGGAATGGGCAGTCTGGTTTCTCCACAATAACTCTCAGAATACTGTTGGGGCTCCCCCTTAGCTTGCACATAAGGGACGCTTTAATGAAATATACTTTACTGTACACCAGAAAAACATAAGAGAGAAAATATATATTTAAAGGTACAATTACGGCCAGATCCCTTAAAAGCGATCTCTACCAAACATTGCAGAGGATATGATGAACTGTGAGAAAGGGTAAGAGTGTACGTAGGTTGTTGGAAAATACACACGACATAAATATAATAATATACTCGATAAATACATAAGTAATATAATAAATAAATACATTTTAAATAAAAATATAGAACTACACATACAAGAGCGGAAATGATTAAACAAGTGAACTAAAAGCCTTAACGTAAGGAAAAATAAGTAGGTAGTAGTTTTTAAATGAACGATATCAGGAAAGATAGAGGAATGACTTTTCAAGGAGGAAAGAAGTGCGCTTTGAAAAGTTTTTTAAACCCTTCGATAGATTGCGCACTTCTAATGTGCAGCAGTAGGGATTTATAGGGCCGAACAGCTTCAATAGAAAAGGATTTAGAATTAAAGAAAGTGTTATGGGACGTAATTTTTAGGGTTAGGTTTTTATCATTATTTTATTTTAAACATGGTAGAGCCGTGCTGCAGTTATATTAGTAGAATAGTTGTAACACGAATGGGTCGGCTCGACCGCGGAAGGACCACGATCTCACAAAATACCTGCGTAAAATAGTAGCTTAATGCTGCTTTGTTTCGTATGGTGAGTGTAGAGAAGCGGAGACCCTTTTTACTGGAAACGAGGCATTCCACCTAAGTCCTCACGGATGACAACGCATCTGCATTTTGATTCGTAATCGAGGATAGATGTAGATGTCTATGGGCCACAGCAAACACTTACCATCTGGTGGACTGTGTGCTCGTTTGTCAATCTATCATATAAAATAAAAAAATCAGAGCGAAGAGAGTGACAGTGATAATAATACGTGGTGTGAGGGATAATACGTGGTAGTAGATTCTCTTACGTCAACGCTACACGCATACTATTTTCAGTCGCCTTGGTTTATTAGAAAGGAAATTTAAAGCTAATATAAGTGTTTGTTTCACTTTCATTTTTCTATTTACGGCAGGCGATGGAAACACTTAAAAATACCATTTTGAATACATAGATTAGTTTTTATTATTTTTTGTCCGCCTCGTTGGTCTAGTGGTTGTAGTAGTGCGACTGCTGATCATGAGGTCCTGGGTTCGAATCCCCGGTCGGGCCAACAAAATCAATTATTGAGTTTATCCGTAAAGAAATTCTCAGTAGCTGGCCGAAGTCAGGAAGTTGGCGGTGTCTCACCACCGTGACTCGGAAAGCCATTGGTCCTGCGCCTGATCTCTCTCCGGTCGTGTCGGTTTACGGTTCCATCGGATTAAGAGAGTGAGGGAATAGATAGTGCACCTGTGCTTGCGCATACACTTGGGCACTATAATCCTGACCTGCGCCGATGGCTAGCCTCCGTTGAGACAGGCCGCCGTGGCCGAAATTCGGTCTGGAAGACATTATTATTATTATTTATTAAATTCTTCCAATGATAATTAATATTTATTAAGC